AATACCCAAACAAATGCGAATATGAAGGGAAATATCCATGTGCGTCTTCCACATTATACAGACTTCATCTCGATGGCAGTTCCAAAGCAGTATGTTCCGTCAGCATTTCCATAAACGGTCCCTGAATTGGCGCCAGATCGTTTGATTCGTGCGCGAGACGTCCGCCTTCAGGCCCATGAAAAATAATGGAGGTAAATATTGTTTTTGGGAGCGGAAACGCGGAGTTTATAAATTGTTTTTATGGGGGACGGGAAATTTACAAATTACGCGGCTGTTTACGTCGGCAGTATTCGCCGGGGAGGGGGGTGAGCGCGTCCCGAGGGGCGGGTTACAAATGGCTACTAGATTCGAGCGCCTAAATGAATTCCGTTCTAGTTTTAGTAGCTTTGACTAGTAGAGAAGAGGGTCTGAAATAAAAAGTCTTACTTTTAGGATTATTGTAGTTGTTTTTTCGTGTTGATTGAACCGCCATGTACTTGGTCGGTTTTCAAGGGTTACTGCGAGTCTGTCATAGACAGAGCAAATCTGATAGACAAATCCAGAGCTTTTTTTTTTCGAGAAAATAACAATGGCGCAAACCGCATCTCTCTATCTGTTACCATTTTCGAGCTACAGACAGGGCTAAACCAACTGGTGCCCTTTTCTGGTTTCCCATTCAAGATATCTTAAAAATATATTTTTAGTTTTTGTGACATGACATTTTTTTTCATATGGAACATCCTGTATTTTAGTTCAAAAACGGAAAGAGGGCTAAAATGCATTACACAAATATATACTTTACTTTTGCTGCCATAGTATTAAATTTTTCGTAAATTAGTAATGGAATGACAAGCAAAAATTATGTTTAAAAACAATATACACATTTTAAACTTCCCGCCAAACTAATGGTCAAGAGACAGCAACATTGATAAAATAGAATACGGACCATGTAAGATTTTCTTACCTTTTGAAAAACTTAATAATGCCAAATGACGGGCCAACAGCATTCGCGCGATTTTCTAAATTCGTCAAATTTGACATTTTTCCAGAAAATGCCGGGAATGCTCAAAATTACGAAAAATGTGAGCGAGAAGTTTCAAAAGATTTTATTTCAAACTTCTAAGTACAACAACAACCTGGTAATGATTTAAGATTTTCAATAATAACAGCACAAAAAAAAAGTGACAGTTCCGAAAGCCAAGACCATTTTGGGGTTGCTGAATCCAAATCCGGTATCCGTTTGACACGATTAGCTCTGGTTTAAGGTCAGTTCAAGGTCAAATGTTTTAAGGTCAGTTCAAGGTCAAACGTAGAAAATCAATTGTCAACAAACTAAACCTGCGTACCTATACGTTTTTGGGGTCGAAGAATCCGAATCCGGTGTCCGTTTGACTCGATCAGATCTGGTTTAAGGTAAATTCAAGGTCAAATATACAGAATCAATCGCCAACAAACTAAACCTACATATCTATACGTTCTTAGAGTCGCCGAATCTGAATCCGGTGTCCGTTTGATCCGTTCAGATCTGGGTTGAGGTCAGTTCAAGGTCAAATATAGAGAATCAATTGCCAACAAAGTAAACCAATATATCTATCTATACGTTTTTGGGGTCGCTGAAACCGAATCCAGTGTCCGTTTGAGTCGTTCAGAACTGGGTTGAGGTCAGTTCGGGGTCAAATGTAGAGAATCAATTGCCAACAAAGTAAACCAATATATCTATACGTTTTTGAGGTCGCTGAATCCGAATTCGGGGTCTATTTGATCCGATCAGGTATGCTAAATACTCTCAAGTTCTAAACTCAAAACAATCAAAGTAAACATTTATGGGTATTATAATTTGAGTCACAAATAAGATAGTAGTATTAATAAGCTTATTTAACCTTGAACTGACCTTATCCCAGAGCTAATCGGGTCGAACGGACATCGGATTCGGTTTTAGCGACTTCAAAAAATGTTTAGATATATTGATTTACTTTGTTGGCAATTGATTATCTACATTTGACCTTGAACTGACCTTAAACCAGAGCTAATAGTGTTAAAGGGACACTGGATTCGGATTTAGCGACCCCAAAACCGTATGGATACCACGATCTTGTCTTTCGGAACTGTCACTTTTTTTTTGTGGGTCTGTATCGACTTAATTAGCCGTCAATGTAACATTTAGAAATAATCGATATATTTTTTCGAATATTTATGAAAAATTTACTCTTTCTTACGATAGTTATTCGGGTTGCTATGTATAAGCCACGGCAAAACAACCCGACAAACCATCGTACTTTTTTAAAGGACACTGTATGTTTCTTTATTACTTCTTTTCCATTTCACCCCTCCATCCTGTACGTTAGACTCCGTAGAGGAGTTCTGGGGCGCGGAGCGAATAAATTCCCATTAACCGCCCCGGAACGAGATGCCGAAAGAAAGCGGCGAACATTTTTACGACTTCAATTCCGCCTAAATATTATTTCCTGCCCTCGGCTAGCGTTTCCGGGCGCGGCGGCCGCCGGAGCTGGAGAATTCTGTTACGACAATTTCGTCGGGTTAATATTTAATTTTTATTTCGCCGCGTTGCTCTATTTAAGGTCTCGGGGAGGAGAAAGTGACGTCGCGGCGCCGGAAACGAACAGTTCACTCAGCGACGCCCGATACAAGTTTTTATTTTTAATTGTATTGGCCTGCGGGGACGTCGCTATGGTTTTTATTCGAAGATTTCAACTGCTTTTAAGCTACGGAGTGGCCGTGGTGAAATAAAACCGCATCAAACTGAACATCCTGTACAGGGTGAATCTTCAATATGTACAGAGTGACCAGAAATGAAGATTATTACATTACAGGCAAACGGAAAGAGAAAATAGGAAACCGCAGGTTGGAATCTTTATCGGATGATTTTTTTCATTTTTTCATTAAAATTCCATCTCGGTAAGTTTATAGCGTTAAGGCCTGTGACGTCACGGAAATTAGACATCGATAAAACAAATTAACCCAAATATGATATTTGGAGCTGNTGTCAAGAAATGTTTCATATAAAAAAATAATGTAAATAAATATATAATATAACCCCGCTCCAAAAAAGGTCAAAGCTACAGCATGAAACTTTTTTTTATTTTATAGTGTATTTTTCTGATAATTTATATATATTTTTTTATATTTTTTATTTTAAATAAGTTTTAGGGGTGGCCTTTTCTACCCCTTACAACCGAAGGGGAAAATCAGAAAGTTTTTACAGAGTGCCTTCTCGATAGCAGAAAACGTTGACTTAATCTATTTCTGCCACTTTTTTGGTATGTCAGAAAAAAATTTAAAACAATTTTTTGGCCTTTCAGTCTTTAAGGGGTTGTATCTTCGTAGAAGATGTTCAATTGAGATTTTTTTATATGAAATACACACCTTATGTTTTCGACAGGGAATCATCCCCTGAATTTTTTCGCAGTTATTTATTTACACCCTGTATGTACAGGGAGGACCATTTTAATCTATGCACCCAAATTTCTCCGTTCCTAAGCGAGATACGGAAAAACGATTTCGACAAAAGTTGTTCAGGACAATGAGGGTCACCCATCTGTGCAACTAGCTTTGACCTTGAGATTCATTTTCAAGGTCATTCATAGGTCTCAGTATTTTTAAAATACCCCTCTTTTTGACACCGGATTTTACGTCCGAAATGATATTTTCAAGTTTGTTTTCGTGACCTTGAAAAGGTCAATTCAAGGTCAAATGCTTTTAATTTTTTGGAGAAATAAACGTTGTGAAGCTTTATAGGAAATATAGAACACTACCTTAACAATGTCGACCTTGAAGTCGTTTTCAAGGTCATTTAAATGTCTGTGTTTTTTAAATAGAAAACTTTGTTTTTGACACCGAATTAAAAAAAAAGTGAAAAATTTAACGTCAGAATTGATAATTTAATTGTTGTTGTACTGACCTTGAGAAGGTCAAATGTTGGAAATTTGCTTGCTATTTATTTATTTAATTTTTTGGGCAGATGTAACGTTATGAGGGTACATTTGAAAGGTAGATCAAACTCAAATTTGATAACGTCCTTGACCTTCAGGTCAATTTTCAAGGTCATTTGAAGGTCCCGGTGTTTTTTGACCTTGAATTCTCGAAGATAATAAATTTGAAAATATAATTTCGGACGTAAAATTTCCCGCTCTTTTCGTATCCGGTGTCAAAAATAGGGGTTCCTATTTAAATTAATAAATACTCCGACCTACAAATGACCTTGAAAATGAATCTCAAGGTCAACGCTAGTTGCACATATAGGTGACCTCCATTGTCCTGGACAACTTTTGACTAAATCATCTTTCCTATATCGCTTAGGTACGGAAAAATTTGGGTGCATAGAATAAAATGGCCCACTCTGTATATTTCCGATTCCTTTATATGTATTTCTCTACTATACATTCAAAAAACGGGACAATGTTGCCTGAATGATAAACGGGCATGCTAGAAACTATCCCTATATAAAATCTCCATTCGAGTAGTACTATGAGGAAAAATCGATTTTCCGGCCGACGGACTTGAGCGTAGATTCTAAGGGGTATCGACATATACGTCGTACGAGTTTTCCTGGAAAATTAATCACCTCGATAAGGAACTTTATGGGTTCAGTTAATCAGTCTTGGTGCAGTTTCACTACGACTTTTTGTTAGTTACAGATAGTAAACAGATAGCGATCAAATTTGGAGCGATGTCTTTCCATCAGTGTAGGGTGCTGGGACAGGAACTTACGGAACGGTCAAAAATGTTTTATAATTGGTACTAAATCATTAAAACTATATTAAAACATTCCCAGACGTTACATATGAAACATTTCTAAAATTATACTGAATCGGGAATTCCATATTTTTGATACTAATCACACGAACTTACTACTACAGTCATAAATATTTTGTTTTCAATTTGAACAAACCTGAAAATTTATGGTAATACTGATAATGCCCCAAGGATCAACTTTGAGGCCCTAGCTTTATGTGACGGGTCATAATGATCATTGAAATTATTCGTTTCAGAAAAATACTCACTCTGTATTATTCCCTTGATTCGATCCTCTCCTCAAAGCCATGGCGGCACGTGCCATTCCACCTGAAACAAAATAGATACTGAAGAAATGCATGGACGTCATACACACGCAATTAATTACGTAATATCCGCACGATAACAAAGGCAACAGTATACTAATGTGACGTGAACGTGAAGAGCATTCTGAGGCAGCGGCTCGCGCATGTCTCGGTTGACCCGTTTGGCACGCAATTTAATCGCGGCTCTCTCTGACAGCCCTAGCCATAATTTCAATATTTCGAATCACAACAGTTGTTTGAACTCTTGAAAATTTCTTTCGGATACTTTGAGGTTAAAAAATCCGAAAGGATCCTTAGTCTATTCATTATTTGTAAAGTTATCTTTAGTTTAGTGAAAATCTTTAATAGCGCAATTTTTTACCTTTCTTTTAATCAAATTTCTTGCATTGAAAATTTTTTTCATCCAGAAAGGATAAGAACGTCTTATAGAGGATTGTTTGCAGTTTTCAAAACCATGCTTAGATTTTCTGTACAATCATTAGTTTATGAGTAATTATTTTTCAAAGCCAAAAAGGTCATTTTTACTTACAAAAATGTGCGAATAAACACACATAAGCAATTGCAAAAGTTTTAAATAAAAAAAGATTAAAAAAAGGGGCTCCGTTTTTGGTAAATAACTCGAAACATATAAGCGTTAACGTCAATTATTTGAAAAGATCCTAAAAGAAGAAGAAATTTCCTATATCTCCCGAATTTCTATCGTTATTTATAATCTTAATTTAATGTTGAAAATGGGGCTCTTAGCGTCAAAAGCAATGCACATACGGCGCCGCGAAACCGACCTTAAAACATATTTTTTTATGATATTACATGTTCATATAAAAATTTCAAAAAATTTTCGTATTATTAACATTTGAATAAAAAAAATTCCGTTGAGAAAAAAAATTTTCATAGATTTTTCAACGAATAGAACCATTGTTAATCATTTAAAAATTTTAGAGTTCGCGTTAACATTCAAAGTCGGATAATTGTTTAAAAAAAGGTGCTACAATTATTTCACTTCGTGGAGACCTTTTGACAACTAAAATAATTTTTTAAGGAAAAATAATGTTGGCACTGTTTTTATGTTAGAAAGTAACATTAAAAAATATTAGCTAAAAAATTGTGTTTGTTTAGATAATTTTTATAAACAAATGCAATAATTATATTTTTCTATTATTTTTTGCATTTCATTCTTTATTATACGATTTTAAAAAAATAAACGTATTTGTTAATTCATGGTTGTTTAAATAATGTATTAAGAATCCTTTTCTTTCTCTAAATTCATAATTTGCAATTCTCCAAAAGATTACAGAAAACAATTTTTTTTGTTGAAAATGTATTTGTTTATTTACTTAACAATTTGTTATAAACAATCGTTAAAAGTGCAATTTTTTTTATTTAGAGAAAAAATAACAAAACGAACCATATAACACATGATTTCTTGTTGAACAATTTTTTTTTCGAGTTTTTACCGATTTTTTTTGTTTGGTATTCTCTGGAAGTCAAAGCCAGGCCATACGATTTGTTTACTTATAAATAGCTATAACTTTTAAACAATTAAAGATACAGTTTTGGACATTCAAGACAATTTTGTGGAATATTGATACTTATTTCAAATGAGCTTTCGACCAAGTTTGTAGCATTGTAGCTAAGACAGATTGTTGGAGACATGAATTTGTTTTAAAAAAATGAAGCTTTTCTTCATATTATTCAGTCTTTGACTGCAAGCAATAAAAAATCTATACAATAAATACCGGTTATTCGAATTGTTTAAACAATATAGGATTTTTTATTAAAAATCATGCAAATTTAATTGAATTTTAAATTTGTCTACAGTAAAGTAAATAAAAAAAACCCTTTTCGATTTCTTTTTTATACCTATGGCATTTATACAGGGTTAGTCAAAAGTATGGAAACCCTCAAAAATATCAGCGGGAAAGCATTTTTGGGTAAAATGGTAACGACAAAGGCCTCAGCATTTTTCACGGCACATCCGATGGTAACCTTGACCTTGAGGTCAAGGTTCAAGGTCATATCAAGTAATTTTTTAAAAATAGCGACCTACCTTTTCGACCCCGGGAAAGGAAAGAGCAGAAAATTATGCATCCGAATATGACATTGACCGTGACCTCAAGGTCAATGGTCATAGTTAGTTCAAGATCAATTGTTGATTTTTACTGCAATTTTTAATTTTTAACTACGGAATCAGAGAGAGTGGCAGTCTTTGAGTAGGTACCTGATGGTTTTCGTCTTGACGTCAAGGTCGAAAGAACATGTCAAGGTCATATCGCTTTTTGGAGTAGCGATCCCTTATTTCGACGCTAGAAATAAAAGAGCGTAGAATACTCCATATTATTATGATCTTAAACGTGACTTTAAGGTCAATAGCCAAGGTCAGGTAGAGGTCAAGTGATTATTCCGGCTGTCATTTTTTATTTTCGACGATGGAATAAAAGGCACTCACAATTTTTTAGTGACCTCAAGATCAAGGTCACTAAGGAATACCATCAGGTATCTACTCCCTCTAATTCCGTACTTAAAAATAAAAAATTACAGCAAAAATCAACATTTGACCTTGAACTGTCCTTGGCCATTAACCTTGAGGTCACAGTCGATGTCAAATTCGGATGCAGAATTTTCTGAGGTCAAAAAGGAGGGTCGTCATTTAAAAAAACCGACTTGATCTTGATATGACCATGAACATTGACCTTCACCTTGACCTCAATCGGAGCGCAGTGAAAAATGCTGAGATTTTTGGAGGTTTCCATACTTTTGACTAACCCTGTATGGATCTATCCTGCATCTACCATTTTTCTTTCGGATAAGTAGTGCATCATCTTCTACAACCGATATTTTTCAAGTGTTAAAAACACAAGCGGACCAGGCGAGGGGACCCAAACAAACCGGAACCGGCGACCGCGGTGCTAAATCCCATTCGAGCGACAATCCCTCGATTTATCACCGTCCTTCCCGAATTAATACGACATCGGGAACTGCAGGCGGGGTGCATAAAACGAGGCCCCCACCGCTGGGAACGATTAACGCGGATAGAAGAAAAGCGGGCGAGTGAATTCGGGGTGGTCACCGACAATGGGATAGTGGCACAGGTCCTATTCCCTTTGTGCTCGGCTGAATCGATAATACGTTTTAAGTCGTAGTGTCCGCGTCAGAAGTTCGTGAAATATTGATATACGGCCGTGGGGAGAGGGAATTAACAGTTGATAGAGTTCTAATAATGGGACACGTGGATCTGACAGCTTAGATTAGATATCGCTCGGTATTAGTTCTTTATGGCTTATTTCCCCGGAAAGTATAACGTAGGTGCATGGAAATAGGGGAGGGGACTTGATATTAGTCCCGTTTTATTGGATTTTCAAAAGTCAAACTCACTTTAGACGCAAATCCTTTACACAACCACTGTGATTATAACTGAGTTTAAACTTTGCGACTGTATGGGTGTTTGGGGAAAGTTTGTTTCGAATAGAACACTTAGGGCAGATTTAACAGCCTAACATTATGAAATTTTCCATAGCGCATCTTAGAAATAAACAATAAGACACTCTTTCTTGCTTATTCTTTTTATATTGGTTAAAACAAAATATTATACAGGTTCGGAAAGTCCCCATGGTTCATCGGCCGTTACGTGAGAGCGATAAAGTAAGTCATAGAAATCCGTAAGATAGAGAAGGATGGCTATAATGAAGGCGTCTCATAGTCGCCGCCCGTTTCGCCCTTCCACAAATAAGATCCACTTCCACTTGTAATTCAGGGACCGGTGGTCATCTTTGTTTTCGTCGTTTTCTGTAATAGATGTCACTACTTATACAATTCCGACTTCATATTCCGATATGACAATCTGTTAACAGAGGGCAGCACAATTTGTCGAAGGTGAGGCGCAGCCCTAGAAAGAGTGATGCCAGATCTACAGATTTTTTTGGAATTGGGGAAATAGGGAATTTTTCTTTATTTCTTGGGATTTTTAAGTCTTTAAAAAGTATACTTAAATAACAACTAAATTAACTTTAAATGCAGCTGAGCACTATACTCCATTTGAATAACTTCTCAGTAGGGGAAACAAGGTCACTAGATTTACAAACAGAGGTATCTACTAGCTACTGTAAAAAGTTTTCTTTGTTACGCGTTGTGCTGCCCTCTGTTAACGGATGGTATTAACATATCGGAATACCGAAGTCGAAATTGTATAAGTAGTGACATCTATTAAAGAAAAGCCAAACGACGAAAACAAAGATGACCACCGGTCGCTGAATTACAAGTGGAAGTGGATCTTATTTGTGGAAGGGCGAAACGGGCGGTGACTATGAGACGCCTTCATTATAGCCATCCTTCTCTATCGCACGAATTTCTATGACTTATTTTATCGCTCTCACGTAACGACCGATGAACCATGGGGACTTTCCGACCCTGTATATATTTTTTAGTGAACAAAAATTTCAAGGTCAAAGATGAAAAAGAATTATTAGCTACGTTTTGCTAAGAAGAAAACTTAGACTGAAAAAGAAATGCAAAGATTTTAAACAAAGATATTTGTTTGAAAGTTATATTTTACTATGCAGTACGAATGCACTGGCTCTTGTGGTAACACAAAATGGTCGTTATTCATTAAGCCGTAAATAGTTCAGCTATTAAATGTTTAAAATCGTTCATTATACATTTCAAAATGAAGCCAAAACTCAAGTAAATTAATTACATCGCATAAAACTCCATTTAGGAGGCACAAATCAATTTTTTTCAATAATGAACGAGACTGCGACAAGTCTATTAAACTCAAAGCGAACAAAACACCTCCGAATTTAATTAATAAGTGAAACCCCGAGGTCCATTTCGCCGCGCGACTTCCACGCCGTAGCTTTCAGAAATAATGAAAAACAGAGAGGAAGCCAAAACAACAAAAAGTACCCCGTTGCTCGTTTTGGTTTCGCGCAATTTTTTAGCCTTTAACAGCGATTGTATTTGAGGCAGGCACCTGCAAAAATGAAATGTGTATACAGGATTAATATTGTT